ATTTAAAGAAACCCTCACATTTTCTTCTGTGAGGCCATCTTTTAGAAGAAAATATGACCCATTATCGAGATCCGGCTGCACCAAGATTGTTTGCTCATGTGGTCGATGTTATGTTGGTGAGACATGCCGACCCATTCGACAACGATTGGTAGAACACAAAAATGCTTGCAGAGAAGGCTGGATCCAACGGTCAGAAGTGGCCGAACATATGGTAGAAACTGGACGTGAAATAGAATGGTCTCACACTAGCAGGATTGCTGATTATGGTAGAAAAAAAGTGGCAGGACCAGGCTGAAAGATGATAAGCCGAATCAACGTATATCTATCTATTCCTATTCATTTTCGTGTATACTTATGAGTATATACAAAAGGTAAAACAGAGCCGGATAGTCTTCTCGACCTATTGTTAACGTGAAGCTTCTACAAGGAAGAGTTGCAGCTCTGATGATGTACATTTTATGATGGACGTAAGCCCCGCCCGTTTTCACCCGAAACGAGAGCGGTTGTCTCATGAACTGCGTCAACCTGAACACCATATACAACGGGATCCATCCATCGTCTTCTGGTGAGATCGATCTACGAGTCTCTTCTTCATCCATTTTCACATAAAATGAAGGTCTCCCCAGTAATGTTATCTCAGGAGATTCATTGAAACCCAGTTACTCCACGTTACCTCCAGTACATGACACTCGATAAACTGGTATAAATCACAACGTTTTGCTGGTTGCATGAAAATCACATCAAAGCGTAAGATTGAGGAACCTATAGAAACAAACGGAGCAGCCGATTTCTTGAGTTAGAGGAACGAGTGTGGAAAAAGAGTTATGGACTATTTCTGGTTGTTGGATAGGCTTATGAAGAGGGAGGGGACAGGAGGAGCCAATAAACAAGCGAATGAGGCTGGATTAGCCTCGAGTCTAGCTCGGACCTTCATACTTCCCATCTAATGAACATTACATACACACAAAAGACAATAGCACATACGCGAACATGCGTCAACATTGTCTAGGCGAACAGCTACCACTGAACGCACTTCCGGTTGACGAAGTAACTTCACTTGTCTGCAAGTGGGTAGAGCAAGTTGGAGGCAGCCAAGCAAATCATGCGATGCCTCTTTAATTTGGCAAGCAAAATTGGATAAACTAGCTGCACAGGCTGCAGCTGGTTTAGTATATTTTTGATCTATTTCGTAAAATAGGCAAACTTTCTCTGATAATGTCTGTCGCGGTGATACAGACGAAATCTTAGCACAGTTTCGTCATGGTCGCCAATTATTTCTTGGCACATTTCAACAGTCTTCCCTACGCGGTATTCCTTTTTCAGTTTCCCGTGGGACCAGATCACGAATTCCTTCCTACCAAATTTTCATTTGAAATGAAAATTCATGTCACTTCATATCACCATGGAATTCTTCGAAATCTAGCTTTTATAAATATCGTGTATTACTAATCTAGAAACCATTCCGGCCGCCTTCTCAGACGAAATTACTGATATTCCAACATCACTCTCCCAAGAGATCCTTTGAAACCTACTTTTTCTTCATATTTTATAATCAATCAAGTTCCATAAATGTGATTTAATAAGTGACTATGGGGTTTATCCCAAATAAATCAAGTCGGCCTCACGCGGCTATTTGATTTTGCTTGGCATTCTCTTATAAGAATATACCTCCTCCAGCAATTTCAAACTCGCCTCACTATCACCAACATCCTCAGGCGCAGCAGCACCCTAAACGGGTTTCTAAGCTGGGCCGTGAGCATGTTTATGACGTCACGATTCCCTAACAGGGCTACTGGCGTCAGTGATTCACAGGGCCAAACGGAACATCACGGAAAGTGAAGCCGCATTTGAACCACATTTTAGATAAGAATTTTATAAAGAGCAAAACATAGATTTGCCATTGCAATCGGCACAGTTACTTATTTTCGAAGAAAAATTGGATTTCGAGGAATCTCTTTTTTCATACTTGTTGTGCTTACTTCCATTTCGCGTAAAAGTGTTTGGTGAAGAGATTCGAAGGTCGATCCCATCAGAAAATGACGGCAGATTTCTCTTGACCAGCTGTCGATTGGCTTCACTGAAACATTCTTGTTGATGCTGTCTCCTTCGATTCGC